CCCATTTGGATGTATGTGATGTAAATCAAAGAGCTTAGAATTCTTTCGACAGAAACATTACCTTCAGAAATGTGTAGACCTAGATGGAGGCTATGTAGAGAAACAATAGCTTCACATTTTGATTTTTGTTTAATAAAGATTTCTGTGTGTGAGCTTGGAGTCCTGGTATGGTGCTGTGGGTTAATGTGCTGGACTGCAAAGTCGGCTTGAATCACAAGGCTGGTGGTCCAAGCTCACCAGCTCTCCTTAGAAACCCTATACAGGGTCGACATGGGTCGGAATCAACTTGATGGAATCTGACAACAACAACAATGTGTGAGCTCTGGTAGGATGGCACTGTAGGATGAGCACAGGACTGGTAACTGCCAGGGTGGCAGTTCAAACCCACCAGTCACTCTCAGAAACCTTATCTATACAAGATAACTGAGTTAGAACTGACTTGACAACATATACCAACAATAACCAACAGTTAATACATTATGACTTACTCTTGTATAAATATATATATATAGGAAGAGAGCACACAGGCTTGAGTGAGTGCTATTTCCTCTACACTCTATAGTCCACAAATGCAGAGATAAATGTTTTATTCATCACTGGATATCCAATGCCTTCTGCAATAGTTGGAGTCCTGGTGTGGTGCTGCAGGATAATGTACTTGTCAATCACAAAAGGACAAATACTGTATGAGACTAACACTGTAAGTAGTTTCAAAAAAAGTTTTCTTGATAAAAGAAACTATGATGGTTATGGGGTAAGGGATAGGGAAAATTAATCACAGGCTAGAGGGCACAAACACTAACATGGGTGACAGGGCAGGCAATATGCAACAAGAGGGACATTAGCAGAAGAAAGATACAGGTAGTAGGAGACAGAGGAATGCAATAGGTCATATGAATAAAGGTAAACACTATTAACTGTTGGTACATGTAATGCAGCTAAGTACATGATTTGTTGGATGTAAAACTGATGATCTGCTCTGTAAACCTTTGCTCAAATCACAATAAAAAGTTGAAGACTAAATAGAAAAAGAAATCAATGTATTACTTTAGACAAATCTGCTGCACAAGACTTCTTTAAACTGTTCAAGAACCAAAATTTCAGTTTGAGAACTAAGGTGTGCCTGACCCAAGCCAGGGTATTTTCAGTAGCCTCATATACATGTGAAAGTTGGAAAATGAATAAGGAAGGATGTAGAATTGATGCATTTGAGTTACGGTGTTGAAGAAGAATATTAAAAGTACCATGGACTGCCAGAAGAACAATCAAATCTGTGTTAGAAAAAGTACTGCCAGAATGTCTTAGAAGCCACAATCGTGCTCTTGGAAATAGCAGTCAAGAAATCAAATGTACTGCTTTGGGCCAATTTGATTCAAAAGACCTCTTTTAAGTGTTAAAGAGCAAACAAGTCATTTTTTTTAGGACTGAGATGCACTTGACCCAAGCTATGGTATTTTCAATGACCTGATACGCATGTGAAAGTTGAACAATGAATAAGGAAGACTGGAAAAGAATTAATACATTTGAATTACGGTGTTGGAGAATACTATTGGAAGTACCATAGATTGCTAGAACAAACAAATCTGTCTTGGAAGAAGTACTAGAATGCCCCTTAGAAGTGAGGACCAGTTCCAGGAAAACGACATCATTGTTAGTAAGTAGAGGGTCAATGAAAAAGATTAAGAACTCCATCCAGATGGACTGACACAGTGGCAGCAATATCGGGCACAAAGTAACAATTTTGAGAATGGAGCAGGCGCGGGCAGTGTTTCATCGTTGTGAATAAGATTGCTATGAGTCAAGCTGATTGGAGGACACCTAATAACAACAGGTGTGGCTGCCAATTTCCATACTGGAGAGACCTGGGGAGGAGCAATTTCCCCAAGGAAGGGGTTAGTCTTAAGTTGGTTTATATAAGATTTTATACCAAACTTGGAACACTTCAAATGTCCAAATAAATAACCGAGGGCAGAGACCACACCATGGCCAAGTTCGGTCTCAGTCCCGATAACACAGAATTAGCTAAGCCACCTCAGTACTCCTCCCTCTCCATCAACTTTGTTCCTTCTGGCTGAGTAGGCAGCGCTCTAAACGGTCCCCGCATGAGGTCACTCTACCTAGTCACGTGTTCGGTCCCGCGGGAGCGCCACATCTTCAGCCGCAACCTTCCACTACCACCGTGCCCACGTGACCCGGCCTAGTTTCTCCCGGCCCAGTCCAACGCCTAGCTCGAGAAGCTCCGCCCCACGCTGCGCGATCTGGCTGCGAACCTCCGCCCCTTTCCCGGTCAGCCTAGAGAATGGCCCGCGGCCCCACGTGCTTTTTTCAGTCCAATGGGAGCTGGCGTCTGGGTGCCAAGGGGCGGGACGGAAGAGACGGATTGTTACGTTGTAAAAGGGGGCGGGGTCTGCAACGTCAGACAGAACGAGGGGAACGCAACCTAGGCAGGCCGGAGTCGCTGCTGTCGCCATGACCCGTGAGCACCAAGACCCCCCCCCCCGCCCTTGTCCTTTTCTTCCCGTCCACGCTGAACATGACCGCCAAACCACTAGGATTAACCCGCCCATCGCTCCCCAGCGGAGACCTTTCTCAGGGAGCGTTCTTTATCGACCCTCACACTTGGAGCCCGGAAATCGAGACTTTCGCCCACCGACACTTCTCAAGACCCCTCCCCCCCGTTAGGCATATATCCTCCCTAGCCTTCCGCTATGTGAGGGAGAAGCCCTGCGCCCTCTGATAGGCCCAGAGCCCTTTACTCCATAATCCAGCCCCTCCCCCCCGAACTCCAACCCGGTCCCTGCACGACCACCACCTGTCTGGGTCCCTATTCCGTCTTGAAACTCAACCCCCCTCCGGGAGGTTCCTCGAGACCGTCCTCCCTCCACCCTCCCATTTTAGCCTGCTTTCTCCTCTCCTCTCCATGTCAGCAGCCTAGACCATGAGATGGGCCAGTATGGGTCCCGCGGAAAGTGTTGGGTCCTCCTGGTGTCCTGGGTTGGAGAGGAGGGGTCGCTGGGATGTGACCACGTCTCACTTTTTACCTTTTTCCTTTAGGCGGTAACCAGCGCGAGCTTGCCCGCCAGAAGAATATGAAAAAGCAGAGCGACTCGGTTAAGGGAAAGCGCCGAGATGACGGGCTTTCTGCTGCTGCCCGCAAGCAGAGGTAGCCCCAGGGAGGGGAGGGGCGGGGCGAGGACGCGGGGAGGAACCTCGGGTAGACCTAGGCTTGTACCAGGAAAGAGAGAGGTACCTCAGGGCTGGAGCCTGGGCTTGTCTTGAGGGGGAGAGTGCATTGCTTTCTTTAGGGTTTTATTTCCTTCCTATTCTCCAAATTGTTAGCTCAGTCTTAACAGGAAGAGATTGGAGCGTGGGCCTGCCCCTCAGTCTGATTTCCGAGTGCCCCTGGGTCTGACCATGTTAAGGGCAAGGGCAGGGAGCTTCACATTTCAAATTCAATTGTGATTATGAGAGCCCGGAATTTTTTGCTCCTTGCTGTTCTTTGTTTCACCTCCCTTCTCTGGTGTTGCTGGGTGTGGTACTCAGCACAGAATTGAGAGCATAAACCTTGGGCCTGTGAGGCCAGACATCTGACCCCTTGGGCAGATGGAGACTGATTGCTATTTGAGCCTCAGCTGTTTTCCTCTTGTTCTCCTAGGGTGGGAATATAGCAGCCACATGCTGAACTTTGTCCCACCCACTTCCATCTTATCCTTTGTGCCCTTCATCCCCCTGCATCTTGTCCTTTTTGCCCTCTGGTACCTCCCAGTGCCCCATCATCTCTACCCCCAGGGACTCGGAGATCATGCAGCAGAAGCAGAAAAAGGCAAACGAGAAGAAGGAGGAACCCAAGTAGCTTTGTGGCTTCGTGTCCAACCCTCTTGCCCTTCGCCTGTGTGCCTGGAGCCAGTCCCACCACGCTCGTGTTTCCTCCTGTAGAGCTCACAGGTCCCAGCACCGATGGCATTCCCTTTGCCCTGAGTCTGTAGTGGGTCCCTTTTGTGCTTCCTTTCCCTCAGGTAGCCTCTCTACCCCCTGGGCCACACCTGGGGATGAGGAGGTTACCCCTTCCCAGTGTTTTTTATTCCTGTGGGGCTCACCCCAAAGTATTAAAAGTAGCTTTGTAATTTCTTGAGCGCCTGGTTTGACTGGGGATTTGGGAGGACGGGGATGGAGGAATGGCTGTCCTTTCCCACCAAAAAGGGAGATTTTAGACTTCTAAAAGATTGTGGGTATGTTAGACTAATAAATGAAACATCACAGAAAAAGAACTTTATTATACTACAACCACCAGATAACTACTGTGGGGATGCAGTAAAGGAAACTTCATAACCATAGGAACTTCTTTTCTGTGATTTTTGCTCCTACAACCTTGGACACCATCCCAAGGATAATGTGAGGGCCTAAAAGGGAAAGCTCCAGGACCTCCGTTTATGCCCCTCTTTCTCGTTCTTCCCTAGTCTGTTTTCCTGTTTGAAAGTTGACCAAAAAATCCTGCTGCTCTCAAGTGTTCACATTCTCTTCTGCTCTGTTATTCCTTATGGAATGAAGGTGGTGTTGGTCTTTCCTTGACCTTAATATGAGGATTAAAACTTGGGGTAGCCCCTGTACTCTTTTTTCTTCCTGTGTCCTGGTTCTGTGGTTCTGGGCATCATATTCCTGGGCCCAGGATTGAACTGCCTGTTTTTTAGCGCCAAGGGCAGAGCCAAGTCTTCAGTCCCTGTTGGTTCCCCCTCCCCCGCTTCTAGATCAAGAACCAGAAAAAAAGGCTGGTGTTGCACTGTCTGTTGGGATCAGCTCTGGGAGATAGGTTCTTGAGCTGGAATGAATATATAATGGAAGCTCCATTGAGTCAGATATTCTACCAGGGTACTTGGGTTGATGTGACTACTTATTGCAACTCAGACACAGAACTAACTTAAAGAGATATAAGTGCCTGTTGTGTCTTTACAATGTTGTACTGGGATGGACATCTCCCCTGAGCCAAGACAAGGGACAGAAGCTCAAGTGAAATCCAGCTTATTAGAAGAACTCAGACTGGAGGCCAGTAGCAGCCCCAGATAGAGGAGTACACAGGCCCAGCATGAGACAACCTTGACCCAGAAGGTGGCCCAGCTACCCTTGGTGAAAGTCTTCTCCAGTTCTGCTCCCTCATAGCTGTGGAGCCAAAGGCTCTAGTTAGAGAAAATGCAGTAGACTGATTCTTTTTCCACCCAAAGAGTGGGGCAGACCAATGTGCGTCCCCTGAGAATCCTTAGGATTGGCCCTGAATTGTACTTTCTCCAAAATAGCACACATTTTTAGAATGTCCCAGGCCCAACTCCATTCTACCTGAACCAGTTGGTAAGGGTAACCATGATGTAGAGTGATGGAAGGAAGAAGACAAAATGGAAGGCAGAATAGCTGTAGGAAAGATGCTGGGCTAGAGCTGGAGGAGTCGTATGGTCAGGTCAGTTGGTCTGATAGTCCTACTCCGTGGCCCTGGAGAGATGGAGGGCTGCTGGGAGCAGTTCTGCTAACTACCTTTTCCCTCTTTCCCTAGCTTCTTTCATGGAAGCTCTTGGGGCTCTTTGGCACTCTACAGAAATCTATTCTTTCTCTTGACACTCACTTTCCTCTGGCTCCACTGTTATGGGGCAGCAAAAACAGAAGGGAGCATGCTTTGAAATGACTGTAAAGACCACAAGATTGTTAATCTAGGAACTCCCTGTCTTTGAAAGGATTAGTCTCTTGTAAAACATGGAGGCACACCTGGGTTCAAATTTCAGCTCTAGCACATAACTGATTATGGGACCTTTGGTGTAAGATGTTGAATCTGTGCCTCAATTTCTCCATTTGTAAAATGGAGTAAGTACCTACCTCACAGGGTTGTTGTGAGGATTAAATTAAATGAGATTGTATATATGTAAAGTATCTAGCCAGTGCCTAGCACGTTGTGGGTACTCAATAAAAGGTATTAGCAGCTAGAACCTGAGCATTCTGGGTAGAGGTTGGCAGGATGTGTGTGTGTGCTGGTATGTGTGGTGGTGGTTGGGGGGAGAGTGCTGAGGTTATGGAACGCTCCGTTCTCACCTGAAACTCAGCCATAAACCTTGATGATCCACAAGGGTCCAAATACCTTAGCCAGGTAGGCAGCCCCAGTACTGAAAAAGAAGAACATTTTCAGGCAAGCCCAGTGAAATAGTATCTGAGCCTTTATTGCCAATGGATCCAAATTAGTAACCCTCAGGAAAGTACTAACTGCTCCCTCTAGCCCTCTTACCCCTAAAATTTATTCAGGGCTTGCAGGAATTTAGAGATTTTTTTTGTGTGTGAGGGCCCTAAAATCTTTGTATGTATTTTTAATTTTTGAGTCCCCACTCCCCGCCCCAGCCCCGCCACCTCAAAGAGATCATCTGACAAATTGCTATTCTTAGAAAGTGTTCCTGTTCACGGGGTGCTTGCTTTCATCTTGCTTTAAAGTTTAGAGTCTAAATAGATCATAATCCCAGACACGACCGTCCCTCCCTCTGGGCATCCTCCCTCCTCTCATGACCTCACCCCTTGACACCATTACCCACCAAGCTAAAAGCACACACGCATACATGATGCCAGCACTCAGCACTGCCAGGGAGCTGTCTGAGGCCTGGGGTCCCATGTTACTCAAGCTAGGTAGGCACAGGGTGGGATTTTGTACTTGAAGAATTACTGAGAGGGAGTAACAGAAGAGAGAGATGGTAAGAATAAGGAGCAGGGTATTTGACAGGAGCACAAAAGGTTTTAGCATAAGGAGTCTAGGTCCTGTCCCCTTACCTCTATCTGGAGGACGGCTGGAGAGTACAAAGGAGGTCAGATACATGATATAGCAGCTGATAATAGAGGCCTGAAGAAAGCCAAAGCAGGTTTGCTCTGGGGAGAATGGAGATCATTTGTCTACAGAGTGGTAACTTCCTTCACTCCTATTCTCACCCCTGCATTGCCTCCCCACCCCTTGAGGGAAGCAGAGGTTCTTCTATTAGAAAACTTGGATTGCGATTTTGGAAACGTGAAATTTGTTATACTAAAAAGCCCCCAAATGGAAAGTTGTAGGGCATGTACCCACTGAGGCAGATGCAGGGAGCCATGGAGCGTAAGGAGAGGAGGCCACAGAAGCAAAGGTGCAGACTGTGAGCATCTTGTTGAGCGTGCAGCCAGCCGGGTGTGTGTAGTGGTGGAATAGAAGCATAGCTCCCACACCAGCCATTCTGTAGAAGCCCAGGGTGGCCAGCAGCACTGTTAGGAAACAGCCACAGTTTTGAACTGCACCTTTCTCCCTATGGGTCGGAGGGAGGTGGGCAATGGCTTGAGCTCCAGCTCTTTCTATTAGTATTTCTCTTAGTGTGACTGCACTGAGCCTTGCCCAGGATCGTCACGTTCCTGAACTGGTCTATTGGAAGCTATGGGACCACTTATTGGTCTTGTCCTTTGTCACACTCGACTGAGCCTAGTAATACCAGACAGATGAACCCAGAAGAGCCCTTAGGGTTATGTACCCCTTACTAGCTCTTGTTCCAGGAATGGGCAAAGGCTGTGATAAGTATCAACTACAACTAGATGAAAGCAAAGCCTCCACAAATGGCCAGTGTAATGCCATGGTGCAAGATGGGCATCATTGGGAAATCACGTCATGATTCCCAGTCCTCTTCTTGCCCTCCCTTTAATTTAGAAAGACCTTTAGCCTATATCTGCTGACCTGGGTGTGAGATGGAAATTACCTGGGAAGAGATGCTTGTCAGTGATGCAAAAGGCCACAGCAGAGAGCAGGAACAGTAGCCTGAGGAGCCAGAAGCTAGTTAGGAGGGAGAAAGAAAACCAGATTGAAAAAATAAGAAAATACATATTTAAAAAAAAGGCAAAGGAGTGTGCAACAGAAACAGTAAAATAGGAAAGAGAACAACAAAAATAGGAGTAGAGGAAAGGTACCAAATTTTACCCTTCACAAATGGCTTTGCCTATAATCTTAGTGTTATCTCCATTTTAGAGACTACAGATTCAAAAAGAGTAAGTATCTGACTTAGTACAGAAGCAGGGCCAGGTTGTCCCTTTTCACAGTGCTATCACCTTATCCTTTAATTTCCTTTACCCATCTTGTGTTAACATCCCTCCCTTATACGTCTCCTCCTAGAGAGTACACACAAACCTATTACGTAGCTGTGCTTGTGGGCTGGTAGGGGAGTGGAGGTGGACCAGCATCCTAGCCTGCAGCAGGTGGAAGGTAGCAGTTCCTCTACACACCCTGTACACAGCCCCAGAGCATCTGAGTACTGGACAGTCAGAGTAGGCACATAACCCTGAGGGCATCTGGATCTAGAGGGAGGATGTGTGTCAGAAATGACAGGGCAAATCATGTACAGAAAGGTACCTTCTCACTGTTCTGTCTACTCATTTGCCACCCCACCAGGCTAGATCTCAGGAGGTTTTTTTTTGTTTTTAAGTTTTTATTGTGAATTGAGTGAAAGTTTACAGGGCAGATCATCAGTTTTACATTCAACAAATTATACACCCTGTTTCATTACAATGATTATAATCCCCTACATGTACCATCAGTTAATAGTATTTCTCTATTCATGTTAGCTCCTTTTTTTTTAAGACACTCAGGCATATATAATACTTTACACCACCAAAGGGCACATTCTGCAAGCCTATCTCGTGGTTGCCAGCTCTCAGTCCCTCTCTCCATGAATCTAGAGTCCTCAGGAGGTTCTTTGGTCCACAATAATCCAACCCAATCTCCTCCCACTTGCCCCCCATGTCCCTTGTAGGAGACTTTTTCTATGACTGCCCTTGATAATAGGAGGCAGCAGACTGCTGAGGTTCCCACATGGAGAAGAATGTAAAACAGGTGGCTATAAGTGGATTTTCTAAGAGGGGGACATCTAGTGGGGTAGCACCTGGTACATGGAGCAGGGCCACAGCAGGACACCTGGGGGAAGAGCAGATGCAGAGCATCAGAGTGGAGATTTGCTGAGAAAAGGCTTACAGTAATGTAAGTATGAGGTCACTTCATGAGATTGAATTCCAAAATTGGCTCTTTCCTTTTCCCTCTCCTTTTTACTCTGGCATTCTCAATGTCTGGTTCCAAGCTACTCAGGATTGCCTTCCACTGAACAACCTATAAGACTTTCATCAGAAGAACGTAACTGCAGAGTTGAGGAAACCTTCAGCATTTCCCTACATCTAAACATTTGTGGCTGAGAGCATGAGAGATTTACTACTCAATAATTTTAGCAGCAAGAAGCCCTGATGGCACAGTGGGTTAAGTATAGGGCTGTTAACTACAAGGTTGTCAGTTCAAACCCACCAGTTGCTCCACAGGAAAAAAAAAAAGGCTGCTCCTATATAAATTTATAGTCTCACATTAGAGGTGTACACATGTTGACAGCAACAGAAGTAAAAACTGGTATATACACAATCCTGCAGTAATAGTGATCTGTGGAGTAGGTGCTTGTATAGACACACAGGCTGAAAAGGCATGGGAGGGAGAGTGGAAGCATACACATGAACATATATGTTTGACAAGGAAAAAATGCACATGTGTATTTACATTTGCTACAAATAAATTCATGAATAGAGCAGACAAAGTTATGAAAACTAGACATAACCAAACACCTTCAGGGATTGAGTCTTTGGGCCTAGGGGCTTGACACCAAGGTTAGTTGGCATGACATAATCACAACAATGTTCTACATCCTATATTGGTGAATAGCGACTGGAGTCTTAAAAGATCATGAGCAAGTGGTCATCTAAGGTACAATTATTGGTATCTTGCTGTCTGGAGAAAAGAAAAATAAAATTTAAGATGCAAGGTAACAATCCAATGGACTGATGGACCACGGGAACATCAGTGACTATGACTCTGAGACCAGAAGAACTAGATGGTACCCAACTTCCACTACCACCTGCTCTAAAAGTGGTCATATTAGAAGGTCCTGGTTAGAGTGGGTGAAAAATGTGAACTATAACCCAAAATAATAAAACTTCCAAAGACTGTGGCCCTTAATCACCCTTCATATCTGGACATGAACTCACCTGGATGGCTGTCAACAACAGGTTTATAAGGGGAACAATAACACTAGGGAGGTAAAAATGCCTTAGACTAATCAAGTATTTGCAATCAAAAGCACAGCATTTACCTAAGGATAAAGTTCAGAAGGGTTATTAGGAATGAAGAAGAAACAAAGAGGAAATAATGTTACATTGTGGAAATTGGCAATGAATGACAACATGTATGAATTATTGAATGGAAAACTGATGTGTGCTATGTTAAACTTTCATCCAATTCACAGTAAAAAGCTAAACAAAAATTTAGTGTTGGAAACTATGGAACAGTTCTAGTGTCCTATAGGTTCGATATGAGTGGAAACTTAGAGGCAAGCAAAAGGGCCTCCGAGAGAAGGTCCATCTTGATTGGGTTGCATTCATTTTCCTCCTCAGCCCCAGCTGCCCATCAGTTCCTATTTTCCAGATAGGCTTTTGATCAAGTAAGCTTATCTGCCCAAATATCCTCTCACCTGGTTGTTGTTGCTGTTAAGTACCATGGAGTCAGTTCCGACTCATAGTGACCCTGCTCAGGGTTTCCGAGGCTGTAGCAGAAAGCCTCATTTTTCTCCCTAGGAACAGCTGGTAGTTTCGAACTGCTGACTGAGATTCGCAGCCTGATTCATAACCACTACACTACCAGAGCTCTTTTCTCACCTGGTAGAAGGGGCAATTCACTATGACACTGCTGTCTCCACCACACTGCTGTATCAGGTGGAGGGAGGTGCTGGGGCCTGTAATGGCCTTAGTACCCAACATCCTTGTTTTAGGAATGAGGCTCAGGTCTAGTGATCTACGTAATAGGAAAAGAAAACTGTTTTCTTCTCAGCCCGTTGAATTCTACGGATGGCTTGTCTCCTCGAAAGAAAAGCCCTAGTGTGGGAGACATTAAGAAAATGAACCACTGATTCTCAGAATGTGGTGGTGATTATGTGCCGTGGAGTCGGTTCCAACTTTTAAGCGTTTCCGAGGCTGTAAATCTTTACGGGATCAGAAAGCCTCATCTTTCTCCCGCGGAACAGCTGGTAGTTTCGAACTGCTGACCTTGCGTTTCGCAGCCCGATTCGTAACCACTACGCTACCAGAGCTCCCTAGTAAATATAAAAAGTAGTCTGGCCTACTCAGACTTCTCTCGAGGTTAAGAAACAATTTGCATACCTAACCTCCCATGGATTAACAGTACTAATTGGTTTAGGATTAGACATCCTTTTAGGTTGAACAGGTGTGTGTGTGTGTGTAAGTAACTGTGGAGGAAGGAAGGATGTCAGTAGGGGCGCATTGCAGAAAGACATGCCAATGGGGTCTGAAGTGGGGAGGTGTTAGTTCCCGGAGAAGGATTTGGCAGAAACGAATACTACAATCCCCAAAGGAAGTCATGGGATGAGAGCAGCAGTCCTCTGAAGTTTCTAGCGTCGGAGAGTAGTGAAGGCGTGGCCCAAGGTCAGCTCCGCCTCCTCTGTGGGCGGAAGCTGCGGGGCTATTCCCGGAAGTCATAAGGTGGGACAGTGGCGCGGGGGATCAACATGGCTACGGAAGGAGATGTTGAACTGGAGTTGGAGACTGAGACCAGTGGCCCAGAGCGGCCTCCTGAGAAGCCACGGAAGCATGATAGTGGTGCGGCGGACCTGGAGCGAGTCACCGACTATGCGGAGGAGAAAGAGATCCAAAGCTCTAATCTGGAGACGGTGAGGTTGCCCGATATCGTGTTTAGACGGATTGAGAGTGGAGGGGGACCAGCAACTGTAGCTGGATCCCAGAACTCCAGGACTGGGCCCGGATCCTATTGCAGAATTAGGCAAGAGGGTAAAGCCCAGGGAAACAGCTGTTAGCGCTAGTTCGTCCCTTAGCGGAGATGGATGGAAATTGTTTTGCCTAAAGTAGACCTGGTGTGCACAGGATTGAATTAAACATAGTTCTTTCACATTTTAACGAGTTCCCCAGGTGAGTCTATAAGCTTGGTCTCTAACAGTTTATGAATAGTTGAAAGGCCAGCCAGCCCCTGCTATGGAGCCACTATGTGTAGATAGATTACTAATTCCTGATACACTGTCAACACACAGACATACATAACCCGTTTGGCGTGGTCTTTTTTAATCATTGGGGCTTAAGGTGGGCAGAATTTGTGTTAGTAACTAGACCTTGTCTTCCCATAGGCCATGTCCGTGATTGGAGACAGGCGGTCCCGGGAACAGAAAGCCAAACAGGAACGGTAAGTCTTCCACATGCCTGCCCCACCATTAACCATTTTTTCCCCAGACAAAAAGACAATTCATTATTGAGCCTAGGTCCTGCACATCTAGGGTTTACAGCTTCACTCCTTTGTTAGTGGAAGGAAAGGCCAACAGCTGCTGCAGGAAGGGAAAGAATTAGGGTGGGTTTTCATTCCACAAATGTTTATCAAGAATCATTTATTTGCAAGACATAGCTGGAAATAATCAGTTATGGAAGTTTATGTTGGAGGAAGAGAATGAAGACTAACGCACATAAATATTTACAGGGAGAAGGAACTGGCAAAAGTTACCATCAAGAAAGAAGATCTGGAGCTGATAGTGAGTAGTAATGCTTAACAAATGACGAAGGTTGGGAAGGTTGCTTTGCCTAATTTGTTTCCTGAAACTCATTTAAAAAGTGCAATCAGAATGTTTTTGTGGCATGTTAATGTTGCAAGAATCCCAGGTAACATGACTGGTAATTTTTTTGCAGATGACAGAGATGGAGATCTCAAGAGCAGCAGCAGAACGGAGCTTGCGGGAACACATGGGCAATGTGGTCGAGGCTCTTATTGCACTTACCAACTGATATGGGCTTTCTTAGACATACCCACTGGATTAATTTATTGCAATAAAGATGCTTTTGCATTCTTTGGAAGTTTTATTATCTTGGACCAAGTGTAATGTATATTATATTGTATTTTGCTGTGGTGGTGGTGGTGATGTGCCAGGAGTTGGTGCTGACTCATAGCAACCCTGTATAGGGTTTCCAAGGCTGTAAATCTTTACAGGAGTAGATAGCTTCATCTTACTAACATGGAACTGCTGGTAGTATCAAACTGCTGTCTGTGATATTAGCAGCCCAACTTGTATTTGGAGTATTACTGAATTTAAGTGAAAGACACCAATCACCCTACCTCTACTAATGAACCTATGTGAAGGATCAGTGTAGAAACTTTATATTTTTACTCTTTTGTTAGAATAAGGAAAGACCTTCAGATGTAGTTGCTAGGTTAGGCTTGTTTATCTGACTAGACTTTTACTTAACAGTATTTAAGGTATATATGGACTCTCAGCAAAATCACTGTACCCCATGGTTTGTATTTCCAGCAGGGTTTCAGACTGTTTATTTCCTTCCATACGCACAACAGATTAAAACACTACCAGGTTCTGCACTATCTTTACAATTATTGTTATTTTGAACCCCTTGCTGCTGCCTCTGTGCCAATCCACCTCGTTGGGGCAGGGGGTGGTCTTCCTTTTTTTCATTGACCCTGCACTTTACCAAGTGTGATATCCTTATCCAGGGACAAGTCCCTCCTTATAATATGTCCAAAGTATGAGTGAAAAGTCTGGCCATCTGGTTGTACTTCTTCAAACACATATTTGTTTTGGACTCCATGGTACTTTTAATATTCTTCTCTAAATGCATCAATTTTACAGTCTTCCTTATTCACTGTCCAACTTTCACATGCATATGAGGTTATACCATGGCTTGGGTCAAGCTCACCTTAGTCTTCAAACTTACATCTTTGCTCTTGAACACTTTGAAAAGGTTTAGTGCAGCAGTTTTTTTTGTGTGTTTTTTTTTGCCTAATGCAATACACACAGTTTGATTTTCTGATGGCTGCTTCTATGAGTGTTGATAGTGGGTTTAAGCAAAATGAAGTCTTTGACAATTTTAATCTTTTCTTCATTTATTATGTTATTGAGCCAGTGTTGATTTTTGTTTTCTTCACATTGAGGTGCAACCCATACCGACAGCCATGTTATTTGATTTTCATTGGTAAGTATTTTAAGATCTCTTCACTTTCAGTAAACAAAGATGTATATCTGCATATCACAGGTTCTTAATGAGTCATTCGCCATTCCTGATATCACTTTCTTCATATAATCCAGCTTTTTGGATTATTTGCTCATCATAGATTGAATAAGTATGATGGAAGAATACAATCATGGCACACACCATTGTCGTTTTTAAACAATTCAAGATCCCTTGTTCTGTTCCTATGACTGTCTCTTGGTCTATGTACAGGTTCCTCATGAGCACAATTAATATATACAAGAATATTCCAATACCCATTTTTTGAAATGTTACCCATAGTTTGTCATGATCTGCACAGTTGAAAGCCTTTGCATAGTCAATAAAGTATAGGTAAACATCTTTCTGGTATTCTCTGCTTTCAGCCAAGACCCATCCCTTGTTCCATGTCCTCTTCTGAATTCAGCTTGAGTTACTGGCAGTCCCCTATTGATGTACTGTTGCAGCAAGTTTTGAATTCTCTTTAGCAAAATTTTACTTGCATGTGGTATTAATGATGTTTGATGATTTCCCCATTCAATTGGGTCACTTATCTTTATAAATGGGCACAAATATGGATTTCTTCGTCAGTTGTCCAGGCAGCTGTCTTCTAGATTTCTTGGCATATATGAGAGTGCCTCCAGTGCTACATCAGTTTGTTAAAAGATTTCAATTTGTATTCCATCAATTCCCAGAGACTTGCTTTTGCTAATCCCTTCAGTGCACTTTGCTTTTGATCATATGCTTCATCTTGAAATGAATGATTATTAACCATTTATTTTTCTTAAAGTAACTTTTTATCCTATCTTTGGATACTTTCTGTATCCTTCAGTATTTTGCCTATAGAATTCTTCAGTATTGCAACCCAAGGCACAAATTCCTTGCTCAATTCTTTCAGCTTGGAAATGCTAAGTAGTTCTTTCCCTTTGGCTTTCTAATTCCACGTCTTTGCACATTTCATTACAATACTTTACTTTGTCTTCTCAAGCTGCCCTTTGAATTTTTCCCGTTCAGCTCTTTTATTCTCATTTCTTTCATTCCTTTTAGCATCTCTACTCTACACTGGAGAGCAAGTTTTAGAGTCTCTACAGACATTGATTTTGGTCCTTTCTTGTTTTCTCAATTACCTTTTGCTTTTTTCTTATGTGATGTTCTTGATGTCATCCTAGAAATCTTCTGGTTTTCTGACATTAGTGTCTAATGCATCACATCTGTTCTTGAGAGGGTTTCTAACTTCAGATTGGTTATGTTCAAGATCATATTTGGCCCTGACTGTCTTGTTTTAATTTTCTTCAGCTTCAACCTGAACTTGTATATGAGCTATTAAAGGTCTGTTCCCCAGTCTGCCCCTTGCCTTGTTTTGACTGAACATATAGCTGCCACCACTGTACTAATCCATCTCTTTGAGGTCTTCCTCTTTTTCTCTGACCCTCCACTGTACCAAACATGATATCCTTCTGCAGGGACTGGTCCCTCCTAACAGTATGTCCGAAGTATGAGACGAAGTTTGGCCATCCTGGATTCCAAGGAACATTCTGGCTGTACTTCTTTCAGCACAGATTGATTTGTTCTTTTGGCAGTCTTATGATATTTTTAATATTCTCTTCCAACATCATAACTCAAATGCATCAATTCTTTGACAGTCTTCTTTATTCATTGTCCATCTTTCATATGCATGTGAGGTTATGGAAAATACCATGGCTTGGGTCAGGCACAACCTTAGTCCTCAAACTGACATTTTTGCTCTTAAAGACTTAAAATAGGTCTTGTGCAGCAGATTTGCCTAATACATGGACTAATTTCTTGACTGCTACTTCCATGAATGTTGATGGCTGATCCGAGCAAAATGAAGTCTTTGATAACTTCAGTCTTTTCTCCATTTATATGGATGCTCTTCATTGGTCGTGATGAGTATTTTTGTTGCCTTTATATTGAGGTGCAACCCATACTGAAGGCTGAGGTCTTTGATCTTCATTAGTAAGCATCTTAAGACCTCTTCAGCAAGCAAGGTTGTATCATCTGCATATGAGTCTTCCTCCAATCCTGGTGCCACATTTTTCTTCATATAATGGTTTCTCGGATTATGTGGTCAGCATATAGATTAAATAAGCATCGTGAAAGAATCCAACCCTGCACACACTTTTCCTGATTCTAAACCATTCAGGTTCCTTTGTTGTATTTGAACTGCCTCTTGGCCTGTGTATAGGCTCCTCATGAACACATTGTTTGGAATACTCATTCTCAGCAGTGTTGTTCATAGCTTGTCATGATCCACACAATAGAAAGTCTTGTCAGTAAAGCACAGGTAGACAGACATCTTTCTGGTATACTCTGCTTTGAGCTAAGATCTATCTGACATCAGCAATGATATCCCTTGTTTCATGTCCACTTCGGAGTCTGGCTTGAACCTCTTCTCTGTCAATGTATGGTTTCAGGTTTTTGTGTTATCTTTGTCAAAATTATACTTGCATGTGATAGTAGTGTTAATGTCTGATGACTTCCACTGGGTCACCTCTCTTTGGAATGGGCACAAATAATGGAGCTCTTTCAGTCAGTTGGTCGGGTATTTGTCTTCTAAATTTCTTGGCATAGATGAGTGCATTCAGTGCTGCATCAATTTGTTGAAAGATTTCAATTTGTATTCCATCAATTCCTGGAGCCTTGTTCTTTGCCAATGCCTCTAATGCACATTGGACTTCTTCCTTCAGGATTATTAGCTCTTTATCATATGCTGCCTCTTGAAACGGTTGAACAGTAACCATTTCTTTTTTGTACATTGACTCTTTGTATTTCTTCCATCTTCGTTTGATGCTCTCTGAATCATTCAATATTTTGCCCCATAGAATCCTTCAATATTTCAAGTCAAGACTTGAATTTTTTCTTCAGTTCCCTCAGCTTGAGAAATGCTGATTTTGTTCTTCCCTTTTGGTTTTTTAACTCCAGGTCTTTGCCCATTTCATTATGATATTTCAAGCTGCTTTTTGAAATATTCTATTTAGCTCTTACCTCTTTATTTCTACCATTTGCTTTAGCATCTCTATGCTGGAGAGCATGTTTCAGAGTCTCTTTTGACATCCATTTTTGTCTTTCCTTCTTTCTTGTCTTCTTGATGGCTTTTTGCTTTCTTCCTTTATGTTCTTGATGTCATCCCACAACTCTTCTTATCTTTGGTCCTTAGTGTTTAATGCATCAAATCTGTTCTTCCGATGATCTCTAAATTCAGGGATATGCTCAAGGTCATTATTTTGGCTTGTGGACTTCTGTTAATTTTCTTCAGCTTCAGTGTGAACTCACATATGAGCATTTGATGGTCTGTTCCACAATCTGCCCCTTGCCTTGTTTTGACAGATGACATGGAGCATTTGCACCATCTTCTTCCACAGATGTCGTCAGTTTGATTTTTGTGTATTCCATCTGGTGAGGTCCATGTATATAGTCATCTTTTATGTTGTTTAAAGAAGGTATTTGCAATTAAGTCATTGGTCTTGCAAAATTCTATCATGTGGGAGAGGGGGATGAAAGAACAAGGTAGATAGGGGAACACTATCTTGCATGGGCTAAATGGGACAGAGGTAAATAAGTGATGTATGCTCAAACGTGGCACAACAGGGCTCTGTGATACAGGGATTGAGGCATAGTCTGAATGGGTAAAAGGGGAAATAATGTTAAAATGCTTACCTGTCTTAAGGATATTAGTTTTCCTTGCCTGTTATTGTTAGGTGCCATGAGTTGGTGCTGAGTCATAGCGACCTTATGCACAGCAGAACAAAACAATGCTGGATACTGGGCCAACCTCACTATTGTTGCCACGCTTGAGCCCATCAATGCTGCTGTTTGGCCAATCCATCTCACTGGGGGGGAGGGGAGGGGTCTTCCTCTTTTTCTCTGACCCTCCACCTTACCAAACATGGAGTCCTTCTCCAGTGACTGCTGCCTCTTGACAATATGTCCAGTGTGTGAGAGACGAAGTTTGGCCATCTTGGCCTCCAAGGAGCATTCTGGCTACAGTTCTTCCAACACAGATCTGTTGGTTCTGTGGGCAGCCCATGGCACTTTCAATATTCTCCTCCAACACCATAACTTAAAAGCATCAATTCTTCTATGGTCTTCCTTATTTACTGTCCAACTTTCACATGCATATGAGGTTATTGAAAATACCATTGCTTGGGTCAGGCGCACCATAGTCCTCAAGCTGACATCTTTTCAACACTTTAAAAAGGTCTTGTGAAGCAGATTTGCCTAATGCAATACGTCGTTTGATTTCTTGACTGCTGCTTCTATGAGTGTTGATAATTGATCCAAGAAGAATGAAGTCCTTGACAACTTCAGTCTTTTCTCCATTGATGAGAATGTTGTTTATTGGTCCAGTGGTGAGGATTTTTGTTTTCTTTATATTGGGATGTAAAATAGACACTTGAATGGATAGAGTGGAAAGCTTGTAAGTGGTCTACAGCCTGTAACTGATTGGAATATTTAAAAGTTCTAGAACTTGCCCAGTGAAATAGGCTTCTTGTAGAGCCCTTGTAGTGTATAGGACCTTAGGTGGAATCCTGAACCTCATTCAGAACCTGAGAAGGGACATTCCTACTTGAAAGGACATGCAGACCACCCTAGAGTGACTAGAGGAACAGAAGGTATTTCCTGAATGAAAGACAAGCAGGAAAAAACAGCATAAAAAATGGCTGTCTGTTTGGCTATTACAAGAACAAGCAAGCTGTTTGCCAGGGAGCCTTCAAGGCAAGCAATCAAATCCCTTCAGGACAAACCCCCCTCCAAGACTAAAACTCGAAGGGAACACAGGAACAAGCATGTAAGTCAATGACTGCGTTGGTCTATATTTGAGTGGAAGTGGGGAAAAGTTAAGTAATGAAGATAAGGGCTGAGTTCAACCACATTTTATAGACTCCTGGCAACCTCGAAATGAGAGAAGAGGAAGGGCTGGTTGGTCCTAAGTTTGGGGAGTCTTGGGAATTCCTGAGCCCATGGACATTGACCTAGGCTCAGAGGGCAAGAGCTGAGAGTGAAACGTCCAACTGATATAAAGTGACGGGAGATGCACAAGAACGCCTAACCTTGCAGACAGTACCCATTTGACCTAGCTTCGATGCCTTGATGACCAGAGCTTGACTAGAGGAAGATAAAAAAAAATTCAATAAAGGAAGCAAGTGTAAATTACTACAATTTGATGAACTTGACCTATATTTATGTATTAGCTTAAATACCAATCAAGAGGGAAGGAATCTTCACATCAAGGATCAAACCTATCCTCTCAGTACACAGGGTTTATAGGGAAGGGTTACCTCAGATTGGGGGTTTGGCTATAAAGGCAGGAAGTGGCTGGCTTTTGAGTTTTCAAGTGGGAACTTAAGTTTAAGAGTGTGTTGGAGAAGGTAGAATCCCCACTGAATAGTTTTCATCTTGTCTAGATGGGTCTTGTGAAAGGAGATGGAGATAGGATTCTTTTGATTATATAGTAATTGTTACTGTGACTAATTGTGATTGTCACAACCTTAATGGTAGTTTTGTAACAGAAAAGGGGGAGTAGTTAATCTTACATTCCAGGAACAGAGGAACCCAGGACCATCAAGGGAGAAAAGCATGAGTGGAATGTGAGACCCTAACTAGAAAAGCAGTGACACCAGAGATGGAGGCAGAGATGATGGCTTGGAGAAATAGAGTAGCATAGGACTCTAGACTCACGAATAAAAGGTTTTGTGCTGGTGGCCAGAAGGCAGGCTTGCAGAATGTGCCCTTTGGTGGTTTAAGTAGCTTATGTATTGAGTGGTTTTGTGTATATATAAAAAAACAAACAAACAAACCAGGGCATAGAAGCGAATACTGTTAAATGATAATGCATGGAGGGGACTGTAATCATTATTGCAATGAAACAAAATATGATAGGATGAGTACAAAGTCAGTGTTCAGCCATGTAAGCTATCACTCAATTCACAAGAAAAGCATAAAGAAAAAGGAAGCAAAGTTGATCTGTTGACTGTAAACTAATCTGCTCTGTAAACCTTCACTCAATTCATAATAAAAAGTTAAAAAATTCTATCATGCATCTCCAGCATCATTTCTATCACCAAGGCCACATTTTCCAAGTACTTTTCCTTCCTCTTTGTTTCAAACCTTTGTATTCCTATCAGTAATTATTAATATATCTAAGATTGCATGTTTGACCAATTTCAGACTAAAGAAATTGGTAGAATTCAATTTCATCATCACTTGCTTTAGTGATTGGTATGTAAATTTGAATAATTGTGGTATTAACTGGTCTTCCTTGTAGGTGTATGGACATCAGAAAGCACTGTACTTCAAGACAGATTTTGAGATGTTTTTAATGATGAATGCGAAGCCACTCCTCTTCAATCATTTGTCATTCCTGGCGTAGTAAACCATGTTAGATTCAAAATGTCCAATAAGGTCCATTTCAGCTAATGCTTAGGATATCAATGCATTCTGTTTTGACAGCTTCCAATTTTCATAGATTCATACTCCGTACATTCCATGTTCTGATTATCAATGGATGTTTAAAGTAAGTGAAGGTTTTGAAGGCTTTACTCCAGTTACATCATCACAGTCAACTCTGAGGCCACAGCTCTTGCCCTAGTCTCATTTTGAGGGGCTCATCTTCTGGTACTGGTGCTGACCAATAGTACTCCATTGCTATTTGTAAGGTTTCCAGTGACTAAATATTCTAAAGTAGTTCATCGTCTCTCCTTCCTATTTAGTCTTCTTCTGGAAGTTCAGTAGAAATCCGTCCGTTGTGGGTGACCCTTCTGGTATTTAAAATACCTATGGCATAACTTCCAGAATCACAGCAACACTAAAGCCACCATAATATGACAAACTGATGAGTGGTGGAGGAAGACTTTGGGGATAATAAAATAGGGTTAGTTTTCAATTGTATATGTTAGTTGTTACTGTTAGCCACAGGTATGAATTTATAATTACCTATAGAGATTGGATTCCTGGGGTGGTGCTGTATGATAAACACTGGACTGCAAACCAGGAGATGAGCAGTTCAAATTCACCAGCTGTTCCTCGGAAAACCTACACAGGGTCACTGAGTCAGAACCAACTTGACAACAATATATTTAGAGATTATGTATGATTTTAAGAGGTATTTACAAGTATCAAGTTAACAAGGGTGGGCTGTGATAGGTAAGGTTTTGTGTCAACTTGTCTGGGCTCTCAGTGGTTTGGCAGTCAGGATTTGGTAACCCCTGAAGATTACCAAAAGTGATCACATCACCTCCATATATCATTAACCCTGATCAGATATAATGAACCTACGTATTTTAAATCCTCACTTCTACACTATTCTGAGGGAGAAAGATGAGGCATTCTGTTCCTTTAAAGATTTACAGCCTCGGAAACCCTATGCAGGGTCGCTATGAGTCAGAACCGACTCCTTGGCACGTAGCCATCATCATGATGCTAATGAGACTGGATCAAACCTACAGGATTAAGTGTACTTTGAGTCAATCTCTGTTGATTTATGAAAGATTAAACAAGCAAGCAAAGTTTAGAGGGACCTACACCAAGACAGAAGAGTTAGAATGGAGTACATTCTTTAGTTCTGGTGTCTCTGCACTGTGAAACTCCTAAACCAAAGCAAAGATGGATGCTAAGACACACAGAGATCTCCAAGGAATGCTGGGACTACAGATGTGGAAAGGAGACAAGACCTTTTTCCAGAGCCAGTCCTCTGAACTTAAGATTTTAGCCTCTTAATCTGTAAGAGAACAAATTTGTTAAAGCCATCCACCTGTGGTATTTCTATCAGCAGAACTAAATAACTAAGATTGCATCATTTCTGGTACATACAACAGTAACTTATATTTATCTTTATGTGCTTGTTTTATTACCATAAAGTATTCAGTGAGACATTTAAAGCATGTAAAAGATACCATTGTTGTATGTCCTTGAGTCGGTTCCAACTGACAAGTGTGACCCTGTATATGGTTTCCAATGAGCAGCCGGTGGGTTTGAACTGTCTACATTGAGGTTAGTAGTCCAGTGCTTATCCTACAATGCCACACCAGGACTACAAAGGACCTTAGTCTTATTTCTTTTTTGTCTTCTTTTGCCCCAACAACTCTTAAGTGTTCTACCTTGTGTATGATAGTTATATAACAAGAAAATCACTGAATTTAATTCAAGCAAGATACCACTACATTGCAACTCTGAGAGCTCTAGTGCACTCCTGGGCAAGATACTTGTAAGTACTTTCTCCTTGGATTTAGTAAGGTGAATGCTCATTTCATGAGTCAACTTCTTGTTCCATGTACAGTTAGCATGGAAAACCAACACAGGTGTAGTAGCTCATGGAAGAATCCCTGTCTGCTTACAAGATCAAAGGAGATGATCAAAATGTGAAACGCCCTCTGGACAAAAATTCCCTGATGTTTTTTACTTTAGTTAAGAGGCAAATACTTGTTATCCTGTGCATTTTGTTTCCAGTAGCATGCTAAAATTTTTCCTGGTGTGTGATCTTTTTGTTTTTTAATACACATAAATGGATCAAAAATATGTTTCATCTAAAAAAAATTTACTCCAACCAAGAAATGCAAAACAGGTTTTCAATGAGCTTAAATTAGTCTAAGGCAGACGTAATTACTGTCCATTAACGTGCCCATGTTTCTGATTCAAGCTCAGGACCTGAAAAAAGAAACTGAACAATCTCATGTGATTAAGGGAAGCCACAGCAGTGATAAAACCTAAAATTTCTCAAAGTTTTAAGTTAGTGGTCTCTAATCCTTTCTAGACAGTGCTTTTCTGTAGGTTTCTCAGCATGAGTCCAAACCCATAAAGCACCTTCTTCAAATGCTGGGCAGCTCACTGTTACAAGTATGACAATAGGCCCAATAGGTTGGCTCTCATGAAATAAAAGTAAATGAAGGACCAAGTGCTGTGATTCTCCTGTGTGTCCTAAAGTTGGAAGACTTCAAGTAATTAAATTCTAGGTAGTTTTCCGCTTCTTGGCAGATGGCCGCTCAAATACATCTCGTACTCCAGCTGCCTTTTGTTTGAAGAACTTTGTGTTTTGGGCACTCTCTTGACCCCAAGCTGAGTCGAAGGAAGTGGTATCTTGATCCACAAGGTGGGTGTATTTCGTACGGCCAGAACGTCCAAAGTTCTTGACCTGAGGGAAGGATGGATGATAATTATATCACCAAACACAATATACCCTGCCCTTTCCTGTTTTAGTAAGGTCCCCCATACCTGCATGACTTTAGGAAGAATGGTTTTATTGAAATGATCTTCAAGAGTAGGTGCACTGAAATCTCTCTTGTATACTTCTTCATCTTCATCCTATAAAAAAGAACCAGGTTCATCATTTTATTTTTCATATAAAACCCACTGCCATCAAATCTAGTCTGACTCATAGCGATGTCATGGACTGAGTAGAACTGCTCCCTAGAGTTTCCTAGACTGTAAATCTTTGTGGGAACAGATAGCCTCATCTTACTCACAGTGACTGGGGAGGTTTAACTGTTGACTTTGTAGTTAGTAGCCCAATGTGTAATCCACTATACTACCAGCTCTATTTCCCAGATATTTGCTTTTTAACCACAAATGTATTAAACTCTACTATAAGGAATATAAAGAAAGGCAAGGATATTGGAACTGCTCTTTAAAGGTGTAAATCTTGTTTACAAAGAATCAATATTCTTTTTTCTTTGTTTCTTTCTCCTTCCTAAGTGTAGTCATATTTTGAAGGCTGGATGTATTCTCTCTGGCCATGTGTTCATTCACTCATATGACTACGAAACCCAACCCACTGCTGTTGATAAATTCCAACTAATGGTGACCCTGTGGAATAGAGCAGAACTGTCTCGTAGGGTTCCTAAGCATATATCTTTATGGAAATGCCACATCTTTCTCCTGCAGAGTAGCTGGTGAGTTTGAATTGCTGACTTTTCAGTTAGTATTTGAGCACTCAACAACTGTGCAACCAGGGCTCCTCACCCTGCATCCCACTGCCATGGAGTTGACTCCAACTCATGGAATGATCTGTATAGATTTCCGAGGATGTAAATCATCTTTATGGAGCCAAAAGCCTCATCTTTCTCTCACAGAGCAACGGCTGGTGGGCTTAAACTGGTAACCTTGTGGTTAGCAGTCCAGTGCTTACCCTACAGCACCACACCAGGACTCCACTGTTGTTGCTGTTAAGTGCTGTTGAGTCGGTTCTGACTCATAGTAACCCTGTATAGGATTTCTGGGGAGCGGCTGGTGAGTTTGAACTGCCAACTTGTGGTTCAAACCGGCCTAATGCTGGAGTACTTTATCCTACAGTGCCAAATCAAGGTCTCCCAAATTTCTTTCCAAATTAGTCTCTTCCAATTTAACTTCTGTTAATAGTACCAATGGTCTCTCAATTACATAGAAAATGTGAGTAATCTCTGTACACACTCAGGTGTCATATCCTACCTGGATTATTCTATAGTTCGCTCCCCAATTTAACAAACCATATTCAATCAGACTAATCATACAATCAATTTCCCCATTCCCTTTCCACTACCTCTGTATTAAGGAATTACCACTGGTATTAATCCAAATAATTTGGAAGAAATCAACATCACTGTATGTAGAGAGCATGGTTTTCACATAAATCAACTTCTCATCTGATTATGTAATAAAGTGATTTTGAGGACCTAACTCATCTAGTATATGGATAACTATCTCTCTGTTTCAATTCCTTAACTCTCTTGTTATGCTATTTGACAGTTGGGGTCTAAACAGAGCTGCTATTACTTCAGCAATCCTGTTATCAGTGCTTTCCTCTACTGGGTTTATAGTCCTCAGAAGCAAAAAGCAGATGAAGAAAGTTGACCACTGACTGGCCAACGGAAATATAATCCCTAGGACCAATTTTTATCATTGAGAAAGAAAACAATTTCACAGTTCTGAGTTTTCAATACTGTTCTACTTTCTAATTCCCTTACCATGAAGAAGGCTCCCCGATGATAATACTTCTGTAAGAACTTGTATTTGCCCTTAACAGCTTTGTTGGTAATGACTTTGCCATTTGCCCGAAGCTCAGCTCGCCGTTCTTCCTCAGTCAGGTTTCGCATGCGTTCGATTTCTGCCTTCTCCTTCTCGAGCCTGTCCAGAGAGCAACACTATTAGTAGTAGTCCGGCTTCAGAAAGACCCAATTATCTGATAGAACACAGTCCCATCTTCTTCCTAGCATTAGTCATAGTAATTTCCTGTTAGGAATCAAAACCAGGAGCTCTAGAAATAAAAAGCTTGAGGGAGTCTTTGTTTGCAAAATCAGGTTCTGTAAACTTTTGAAGTAATCTGGCTTTTATGAGGTTCAGACATAACTGTTACTGCTTGCTTTTGTAACATTATAAATTCCCCTTACCCAAAAGGTCTTATAAAAAAATCAAAGTTAATTAAAAATAACTCTATGGGAGGATCATCAAGGAACTGAGGAATTCTGGGGCTATAGAAGCTGAACAGGCAAAGATCTGCCCCCAGAGTGATACAGAATTCCTTTCCCTAGAGATGGTGCCTGAATTTGGACTTGTAGCTTCCAGAACTTTAGGAAAGCAAAGTTCTGTTCTTCAAAGCCAAAACAACAACAAAACTATATAGAAAACTTTGCTAGTATTGTTACAAATTATACATGTGTTTATATGACATAAATCAAGGATTGCTGATGATGTTCAGTGCCGTTGAATCGCTTCCGACTCATAGCGACCCTGTATAGGGTTTCCAAGGAATGGCTGGTGGATTTGAACCTCCAACTTTGTGGTTAGCAGTCTAGTGCTTATCCTACAGTGCCACAACAGAACTCCTAAATCAAGGATAAACATCATTAGTTAGATTGCAATGATTTTCTAACCTAGCAATTTGTTGGCATCGGTGATACAGCTCCGAAACAATTCTGCTCTAACATAGTGAATATGACAGATTATCTAAGAGCCACCAATTCTTTCCATCACAGCATGAGTACCTTTTATCAATGCAATTTTGCTGCTTCTCCTACTCAGAGATGGAGTTTATTTTTCCTCCCCTTCAAACTAAATTGGTCTTGTGACTTCCTATGACCATCATAATGAAGTAAAAATGATGTTTTAGTTCTGGAACCTAGTGCCTCGGCAAGCTTCCACATTTGCTCTTAGATTGTTGCCCTGCAACTGCTATGAAAGGAAGTAAATTTAGTGTACGAGAAAAGTGAGGCATCCCAGCTGGCAGCCAGCACCAATTCAGATATGTGAGTGGGTCATTTTGGACAAGCCTCCAGCTGGACACAGCTAAATAAGCCCAGATAAAACGAGCAGAGAAACTGCTCAGCCAACTTACATAATGGTGAGAAAGAATAGATTGCTGTTTTTAAATCACTAAATTTTAGGTTGCTACACAATAGGGGAGTACGGTGACGCTGTACAATGAACACTGGACCGTGAACTGTAGGTTGGTGACTAAAGCCCACCAATTGCTCTGTAGGAGAAAGATGAGGCTTTTTTCCCCCCTCAAAGATATACAACTTTAGAAATCTTATACAGGGTCACTATGAGTTAGAACTAACTCTATGGCCATTAAAAACAAAACAAAACAATAACTGGTAATAGCTACACCTATTCCTCACTTGGTCTCCTGGTGTGGTACTGCAGGATCAGCACTGGACTTTGAACTACAAGACTGGCAGTTCAAACCCACCAACTGCTCAACAACCCTATACTTGACTGATATGAGTCGGAACTGACTCGACGGAGTTAACAACTCCTCACTTGTCAACTACCATTATTCAGCATTTCGCATTTACGACAATAATACAGAATATATTAGTCAACTATTTTGCGTGTTGACAACCTACATCAGGCAGTAACACACGTTGAGGTGCAAGGTGAATGTAACCCTGGCTATGAAGGTTAAGGTTCTATGTCAACTTGACTGGGCCATGATTTTCAGTGGTTTGGCAGTTCAGTTATGTAATGATGTAATTTGGCAGTTTATATTACGATGAAACTTGGCAGTTATCTTGTTTTACAACCATTCTTCTTTTTGTTGTCTAATATGGTAATCCTCCATGTGTTTTTTAACTGGAAAGACAGATGGAGAAACACACCCAGGCTGCCCACTAACACCAAGATATTCACCTAATACTAATTTTCAAATAACAACTTGATTTTGGTACTTGATCAGGCCAATAAGTGATAAATGTGTACAGTTAAGTTTTTTTGTGTGTCTGGTAGGAAACTTTTGTTACTGTTAAGTGCCATTGAGTTGGTTCTAATTCCTAACAATCCTATACAGGATTTCTAAGGAGCAGCTGGTGGGTTTGAACTGCCAACTTTGTGGTTCTCAGTGCAGTGCTGATCATATAGGCCCAAACCAAGAGTCCAATAGGAAACTAAAGGGAGCTTAATATGGCACTATTATCATGGAGAAACACTGACAAAGTATATGATTTTCACTTAATTTCATTATAACAAACCGTATTTTAATTCTGGGAAACTCATCTGGTCCCCAAACCCCTTAAAAAAAAAACAAACCCTCCTCCCCCACAAACTTGTAACTGTTGAGTTGACTGCTATTCCTGGTAACCCATGTGTTACGAGTAGAATTGCTCCATAGGGTTTCCTTGGCTGTCATCTCTATAGGAGCAGATCACCACATGCCAACCTTCAAGTTAGCTGAGTGCAAATGACTGTCGCCACCCAGGGACCTCATCCAACTGCAGGAAACCTAAAGAAACTCAGAGCGGTTGTTGAGCCTCAGATCTACATTATCAGTAACCCTTCCCACTAGCAGTGTTACTCTAGGCCCATCTTAGTACTCACGCTTCACGATCTTCTCTGTCCCTCTTGATTCTCTTTAACTCCCGAACTTTCCATGCCTCATATTCCTCCTCATCATTTTCATCATCTGTATTGAGTGCATCCAGTGCAGCTAGGGACCGCTTGTTCTCTTCCAGCTCCTTCTTGGTCTCTTCTTCTACAATCTGGATAGGGAAAATAATTCAGTTACTTCCTATTCTCCTCAAACTTTATCACACCACCCTCAGTTATACTCAATCCTTCTCAAAGCCACACCCTAATACCTTGAGTGTGTACTTGCGCCTCTCCTCAGCCATGCGTTTTGCCTCCTGCTCCAGCTCCTTCTGTTTCAATGCTTCAGCTTCACGTTCTTGGACTGTCACTCGATCCTTCCTACAGAACAGTTGTTGTTAAGTGCCACTGAGTTTGTTCTAACCCATAGTGACCCTGTATAGGGTTTCTGAGGAGTGGCTGGTGAGCCTAAACCACCGACCTTGTGGTTCAAACTGAGTTTGCATTCTAGAGCATTAACCCATATTGCCACACCAGGACTCCTGTTAATTCAAAACCAAAGAATCTCTGGTTCCATTATTTCCAAAGAGATGGAGGAAAGAAAGGGCAGGGGTGTGTATGTGTGCCCCAAGGCCATCCTATGTCTTTACAGCAGCAAAATAGAATTCATTTTTTGAGAATTGTCTAGGTTGCTCAAGGAATCGACTTAATTGTAAGTAGCAGGAATGCTAGCCATTAGGAAAGGAATAAGAATTTGTTCTTCAGTTTAATTTTGTGCCTAAAATAATTTAGTATTTGTCTTGTAAGACCTTGGGCAGACATGTACTTTTTAACTGAAAAGAGACACTAACACCAAGATACTCCTCATCAGAGAGCCCAGGGCCCAGGGTACCGGGCAGAAGACTTTCAAGTAGTGCTTAGATTTCAGAAGAGAATGTGAGAAAAAAAGGCTTCTGTCTTCAGACTGGAAAGTAATAAACTGTAGATTCAGGTTTGGCTTGTGAGATACTTACTTTCGGATGAAGACTGGCTTAAGGCGAGGCTCCATTTCATCTTCACTGTCTGTGTACTCTTCATATTCAGACTCTGATTCAGACTCCTCCCCAGAGCGTCCCTCATCCTCCACCTCCATCACTTCCATCTCTTCATTTTTTCTCTCCTGTGCTCGCTGACGCATCATCCCTCGGCGCCGCTCAATTTCCTATCAAGTCATAAGTCCATGCCAGTTAGTCAAGTGGTGTGTGCCCTTAGATGGCTTTTTATTTTTCTCTTACCATGCCCAATGAATTCTGATATGACCAAATTCAACTCAGTACCACTCTATTTCCAATCCTATCTCTAATAAACGGGACATGGTCTGAGTTCTGCCAAAAACAGCTATTTTTTGCCTTTAGAACCTCAACAAAGGAACATAAACCACAACCCTTTTTGTTTACCCAGAAAGAACTCTTCATTTTCCTTTATACCTCATCATCAATTTCTTCTTCTTCTTCTTCACTGCTATCTTCTCGTTCCATGTGCCAAGCATCTCCTTCTACTTCTGAATCACTTTCTCCGACCACTTCAGGTTCCACTATTTTCCGGTGTCGAGCCAATCTGAAAAAAAAAACAGCTCCAAGTTTAACACCAATTCTCACAAAAACGAAAGGGCATCAACCACATTTCCTTAGTCACAGCACAGCACCATGAGATTGTTTGGTTTCATCAACAGTGAAGTCTTGTTGTTATAATGCAGAGACTGAGGCTCACCCAAACTGTAAATAGTTTAAGTTAAGCCTAAAACATAAACTTCAGGCAATAAGTATCTCAGGTCATTGCTGTGGTGATGTAAGATAAGCACTGGATTGCTAACCATAAAGTCAGCAGGTCACACACACTAGCAGTTCCTTGGAAACCCTATACAAGGTCACTATGAGTTGGAACTGACTCGAGGACACAACAGTACACCAACATAGATGTCTAAAATATAGATATCTCAGTCACAAAGAAAGCCCTTAATCTGTGGCTCTCACACTGTAGATCGAGGTGCCCTAGGGTACTTGATGAGTCCTGGTATGGTGCTGTGGGGTTAATGCGCCAGACTGCAAAGCTGTCTGAACTGCAAGGTTGACGGTTGAAGCTCACCAGCTGCTCCTTGGAAAATCTATACAGGGTTACTATGGGTCAGAACTGACTCGATGGTACATAGTAACAACAGGGTACTTAATGGCACTTGGGCAAAGCAGTAAACTCACAGGGGCTCATTGGGGGATTTTTTTTCCCCTTTCAACTTTGTTGCTAAGAATATACAGAGCAAAACATTACACCATTTCAACTATTTTACATGTCTGAAGAGGCTTCAAACAGTACAAAGAATAATACTCTATGAGCGTTTTGAAGTCCTCTTGTACATTCTGACATTGATTTCACATTCTTTGACTCGTGCAACTATCGTTACCCTCTTTTTCTGAGTTGTTCTTCCCTGGGTCGCTATGAGTGGGAACCGACTCCACAGCACATCACCACCACCAATGAACATAAACTCATGGCTTCCTAAGGTTCCTATTGTTAGTAAGATCTCATATGGGTACTTCTTAACAGCATAATGCTCAAGGCAGACCTTTTTTTACTGGTTGAGCTCTTGATTTTAAGACATCAAGGAATAAATTTTGGTGTAAGCTTTAAAAATTTTCTCAGAGCAATAGTTTCAGGAATTTATATAACCTCCAAGAACTCTGACATTTGAAAACTTTACAGGAATTCTGTTCTGCATTTCCTCCCTTTTGATCAGGATTTCTTCTATGGTCAAAATAAAAACATCCAGTAATGGTGGTCAGGCACCACCCAGTTTTGGTCTCATGGTAAAGGAGGCAGTTGTTCATGGAGGCAATTAGCCATACATTCCATCCCCTCCTTTCCCAACTCCTTGCACTATTGCTCCAGGTGAATAAAGACCAACTGTTTCAGCAATGGAATATTTTGAATATTCAACGCTGATCAGTTTCAACATTAAATCAAACTGTATTACTTTCAGTGGAATATCTTTATGAAGCTGGGTTTTGGTGACTGCTATGGTAAAAAAGCTAGTACGGAACCAAAACCAACATGGAACAGGAAATAAGTGACAATATCCAATATGATTCCAAAGTCTGAGTATCCAAAAGCAAACTGAACTTAACCCATTGCTGTCAAGTCCATTCTGACACTTAGTGACCCTACTGGATAAAGTAGAGCTGCCCCACAGGGTTTCCAAGGCTATACTTTTTATAAAGGGAAACTGCCACATCTTTCTCCTGTGGAGCAGATGTAGGTTCAAGTCGCTGATCTTTCAGTTAGCAGAAGTGCACTTAACCACTGTGCACAAGGGCCCCTTTGTACCCAACAGGTGCACAAATCCTATTAGGTACTATTAGTTATTAAAGAATGAAATAATACTATTTGGTTATTAGAGAATGAAATTTAAAAAAATTTTTTTTTCTTTTATATAAGTTATTCCCCCCCCCCAAATAAATAAAGAGAACATAAATATATATTAGAATCTAACTACAGTTGACCCTTAAATAAGATGAAGTTTAGGGGTGTTGATGCCCCACACCCACAGTCAAAAATCTGCATATAATTTATAGTGGGTCCTTGAACAACATAAAGTTTGAACTGTGTGGGCCCACTTAAGCATGTTTTTTTTACCCTGCTGCTATTATGGCGAGCTCAAATATTGCAAAAATCTGATTAGAACATCTTATGATGCTTATCATCTTTGCATGAGCAGGTGTCTCTCCAGTAGAGAGCTGCTCTTGTGGAGATGATTCTATGAAAAGCATTCCTAAGACAATGTGAAGTGAGAAAGTTTAGTACCTGTGGCCTACTCTGTAAGGGAATGAATGCCTCAATCTATACACAACAGATTAAATTCTTTAGTGGGAGGCTCCCTTTTTTAAACAAGATAATTTATCTGACTCTTTTCCTACTTCATCATTTAAATTTTCCACACTATCATTTAGAGTAAGTTGTTGAGTCCAATTCATAGTGACTGACCCTATATAGAGTTCACAGGACTGTGAAACTTCACTGGGAGCTGAAAGTCTCATTTTTCTCCTGTGGAGCAGTTGGTGGGCTCAAATCAGAACTTGTGGATAAGTCTAGGGCTTATTCTATGCTCCCTTTAGAATAAGTTGTTAAGTGCTGTCGAGTCGGTTCTGACTCATAGCGACCCTGTACAGGGTTTCCAAGGAGCGGCTGGTGACAATGAACCGCCAACCTTGTGGTTCAAACTGACCTTGCAGTCTAGTGCATTAACCTGTAGCATCACAGCAGGGTTCCTTAGAATAAGTTTGTTGTTGTTAAGTGCCTTTGAGTTGGTTCCGACCCATAGCGACCCTGTATAGGGCTTCCAAAGAGTGGCTGGTGAATCTGAAACGCCTATCTTGTGGTTCAAACTGACTTTGCCATCAAAGCATTAACCCACAGTACCACATTAGGACTCCTTGTAATAAGTGGGTGGATACAATAAATTTCTCAATTATAAAACGTCTTTTTGCTAAAAAGACTCTTCAATAAACCAACTAACCATCTGTTTTCTAGTCCCTTAATAAGTTTATTAGGATCTTTGGGTCAGAGTAACTTGCAGTTTTCTGAAGCTGCCACTTCATGTTATTTACCTAATCCCTTTGAACCTCAGTTACTCATCTTTAAAACAGTACCCACCTAAAACGGGGCTATTGCCAAACAAGAGTTAATAAATGTAATTTACTTGGAACAGTGTCTGGAAATAGTTAAGCTGCTGATGGTTAAGTGCCTTAAAGTGGGTCCAACTCGTAGTGACCCTGTATAGGCTTTCTGAGGCTTTTAAAATTTTTGTAGGAGCAGAAGACCTCACCTTTCTCCCATGGAGCAGCTCAAACTGTGGTCCAGTGTTTATCATATGGAGCACCGTGCTCCCCACATAGTAAGTACTATGCAGATATTCGCTGGCTGTTATTATTGTTGAACCTGTAGGGGGTTCAAGTCTATTGCAACACAATCCAGGTCATTACCTTTCTTCCACATCTTCACTAATACGGTTCTGTAAACGCCTCAGACGGGGATCACTAGATGAATCTTCTTCCTGTTCCTCAGGCTCTGCTTCTTGTTCTTTGGCTTTCTTAATGAACTGAAACTCTTCATCCTCCTCATCTGAGGACTCCATAGGGGCATAGTCTGGCCTCTTTCCAGATACATAGCGTTTCACCTTCACTTTTTCCATAGAAATTTCACCTGGGTGAGAAAGATAGCATTATGATTTAGTTGATTCTTTCCAAAGAATGTCCTTCAATTTTTGGCCTTTACAGGTAGAGAGGACTATATTCTTGGTAGATAATAGTCTGAGCAGAAGAAGAGAGTCACTACATAATCATGTATTGACCTAATAGCGTTTAACTATAAAGGTCAAATCAAGGAAAGACACTGTAGCAAATACCAACACTAATTACAGTCAGTGTTTCACTTAGAATGAAGTGAAAGAAGTGAGTAGATGAACTGTTAAAAGCTGTAAATCTTTATAAGGGAGCAGAAAGTCTCATCTTTCTCGGAGCAGTTGGTGGGTTTGAACTGCTGACCCTGTGCTTATCCTACAGTGCCATCAGAGCTCCCAATGAATATACGGCAAACTGTGCATATTCAAATAAACTCTTATATTCTTTTTTTAAAAAAACTCTTATATTCTTACAACTAACTTTGGAAAGCAATTTTGGCGATTGGTAATAAAGCTGATGAAGAAATTCTAAGAATCTACCCTAGAAAACTTCTCATATAAGTGCACTAAAGGAACATGTTTAAGAATGATAACTGTAGCACTATTTGCAATAGGAAAAACACAACCAACTGTCCCTCAGTAGAGAATGTTGTTGTTAAGTGCCGTGGAATTGATTCTGACCCATAGCAACCCTGTATAGGATTTCCAAGGAGCGGCTGGTGAGCTTGAACCACTGACCTTGCGGTTCAAACAACTTTGCAGTCTGATGCATTAGCCCACAGCGCCACACCAATAGACTGGTTTAATTACACAATGGAATTAATAAGCAGTTAAAATGAATTCAATCTAATGTATTCAAAGGATAATTTCAAAAGTTTTTTTTTTTTTTAAAGGCACAGGTACAGTGTATTTAAAAAAACAAAAAGACTTGTACTATTGTCCAGCATTTGAAAAAACTCTGACTTCCCAAACAAGTAGGTTGTTTCTTCCATTTGTCCGTATTATTGTAATGTTACCCATTCTTTAAGAATCAACTTAAATGCCAACTTCTTCAAAAAGCTTTCCCTGATTACCCCATCTGAAATGAACTTCCTCTTCCTTTTCACAAGGCTTGGCTTACACTACCTATAAAACAGGTATCAGGCTGTAAGACTATTTACACACTGCTTAGAATGTGTATCTTCACGCATGTCTTACAGAACAAGAACTAGAATGAGTTTCTTATGATGAAGGCAAAGAAAACAAAAATCCTCACAATTGGGCCAGTAAACAACAGCATCATAAATGGCGAGAAGATTGAGATTGTCAAGGATTTCCTTTTACTTGAATCCACAATCCATGCTTTTGGAAGCAGCACTCAAGAAATCAAACAATGTACTGCCTTGGGCAAATCTGCTGCAAAAGATCTCTTTGAAGTGTTAAGAAGTAAAGATGTCAGTTTGAGGACAGAGGTGTTCCGGATCCAAGCCATGGTATTTCAATCACCTCATTTGCGTGTGAAAGCTGGACTATGACTAAGGAAGATCAGAGAAGAATTGATGCATTTGAATTACAGTGCTGGAAAAGAATACTGAAAGTACCATGGACTGCCAGAAGACAAAATCTGTGCTGGAAGAAAAACAGCCAGAATGCCCCTTAGAAGCTAGACTAAGACATGTTTTCAGGAGGCACCATGAAAAAGGGCATCATATTTGGTAAAGGAGAAGCATCAGTGAAAAAAGAGGAAGATCCCATTGAGATGGACTGAAACAATGGAAGCAACAATGATCTCAAATATAAAACAATTGTGAGGTTAACACAGGACCTGACCTGTCACACATAGGGTCGCTGTGAGTCAGAATCTACCAGACCACCTAATTACAACATGGTTAGGGAGTACTGTCTTACACAATTTTGTATTCAATTTAATAAACACAGTCATTGCGTTTTTTGAAAGGGATAAAAAGCTGAATAAGATTCCTACCTCAAGAAGCTTAATAACAGGGAAAGGTAAATAAATAACGATGTAGAAGAGTTGTAAAAGCTAAACATATTGCTATGGTCAACAAGACTGTACTCTGCATAAACAACAGGCACTCAATACACATTAATTTAACTAGCTGGTAGGGGTCAGGGGAATGGGATGCTGTACACTGAGTAGACAAGCCACAGAATAAAATCATATGCAAGTGGGTTTTCCATTCCCTAGGCAACGCAGCTGGGTGAGAGTTTAGGATGGGAAGGCTGATGAAGCTGGGGGGCCGGGAGCAGGTAGGCGTGGTCAGCCAGGGGCAAGTTTGGAAGATGCTGGGCTAGGAAGAGGTAAGATAAAGGTAAGATAAAGGAACTCAGCACGATACCTTTCTCATTGCGGACTGGGACGGCCCCAGCCGTAGACTGAATAGGCGGTTGTTTCATGAGTGCGCTTGGGACTGACATGTTGATGGCAGCGGCGGCGACTCCTTAAATTTGACTGATTCCAAACAGTGAAAACCGACACGGTCAACGAACAACAAATTCTTTATAGCCTAGATTCACTGGACACTGCTGCGCGACAAATAGGAATAACACTGACGCCAAAGCTAGATAGACCGGAAATATATGTGGAGAGGATTGTGGGATTTTGGAGGACTTCAGGGTCGAGTCTGTTACTGCGCATGTTCATAGGCTGCCGTCGCGTTCTTAATCTCGCAGGTTTTAGAAACCGCTTCTGGCGGGAAATTGGTTCCTGTGGCCACCGGCGTTCGAATGAAAGATTTCACTTGTTAGTTTGAAGTTCTTGAAATGGCACAGTGATGAATGAGAAACCGAGAAAAATAATGAGGGCCCGCTTGTACATGTTGTTGAAAACTTGAAGGATTAGGGTTGGATCTGAATAGAAATCCTGCTAATGTACCTGATTAGCTCAACCGATGAAATTGGGGTGTGCTGTGGTGTGATATATTATTTAAGTCATATGATGGCAGGTGGTGGTGATTTAGGCCAGTGGCAAAAAAATAGATAAACGGAAAAAAACATTTCCGCAAGAGGCCTGGGTAATTGGCTGAAATTGAACACTCCAATTTTTAAGCTTTCAAGAATGTTCAGTTTATGGCGATCACCTCTAAAAGTACAATTCTGGCTGGAAAGTATTTTTTATGTTCCTCAGTAGTTAATGAGTACTTGCTATGTTTGGCGAACATGGTTAACAGTTGACATGCTCAACTGCTAACCAAAATGTTGGAGATTTGAGTCCAAATGGTTCCTGCATCAAAAGAAAGATGTGATCCACTTCTAAATGCTAGTCATTGAAAATCCTATGGAGCACAGTATCCATGGCAACTGGTTTTTAAACTTGCTATGTTCACCAGGCTTCTTCTTAAGTGCGGACGAGTCGGTTCCGACTCTTAGCGATCTTGTATAGGTTTCCAAGGAGCCGCTGGTGAGTTTGAACCACCGACCTTGCGGTTCAATCCGACTTTGAAGTCGAGTGCTTATCCAATGGCGACACAAGAGGATTCTTCATCAGGTTTGTTGTTGTTAAGTACCGTCGAGTCGGTTCCTATCCAAAGCGACTCTGAATAGGGTTTCCAAGGACCAGTTGGTGACCTTGCGGTTCAAACGTCTTTGCAGTCCAGTGCATTTTAGCTCTCTGTAAAAAGTAGGGGGATTGTTAAAAAACTCATTTCATATTCTTTGCTTGAATTCTATTTAGGAAATCTTCAAGAACTTGGAGAATCACAAAGCAGCAGTCTCAATTTTCTAGCTTGGTTATGTAAAAAACCTAGTTAATTGAAAGTCAGAACATATTTTACCATAGAAAGGACTTTTAAAATGATGTAGTGGGGGAAAGAGAGGACAGCTTGAGCCGTCTTGAAGACCAGAAATAGCATAGTATATATGGAACAACATGAATGTGAGAAATAACTCTTGTGGTCCATCTTCAGGAATTCATGAGATTGCAAGACCTGGCAGACAGATTGTTGATTTAAGCAGGCCATTCTGGAACTTGGAAATTTAAATAAAAATACAGCCATTAAGAGCTTGGGCAAGCCATTTTGGCTTCTTTGAGGGGGGAGGGAAAATGGAATGTACCATAGAATTGTATATGGAGAACTGAAACTGGAGGAGGGGCTTTTGGGGGGACAAGAATAGAAACCATTTGTGGAGGGCCATGTGGCGTGTCTGCCTATGTCTATGGGGCTGGGCGCCCGAAATCGAATAAAGAAAACCTCACTCTCGCTAAAGTGAGTACAGATTGGATTACTTGAGTGTTTGTCAGTATAGAAAACGGTTCTCACGATAAAGAGTTTGGTATGGCGCTGTGGGCTAATGCGTCAGACAGCAAGTCTTTGTACTGCAATGTCGGTGGTTCAAACTCACCAGCTGCTCTTTGGAAACCCTATACAGGGTCGCTATGGGTCGAAACCGACTCGACAGCACTTAACAACAACAAATGAAGAGTTTAAGGAGCTCTGGTAGCGTAAGCGGTTACGAGTCGGTCTGCTAACCGCAATGTCAGCAGTTCGAAACTACCAACTGCTCTGCAGAAGAAAGATGAGGCTTTCTGCTTGGCAAAGATTTACATCCTCGGGGTCTCTATGAGTCAGAACTGACTCCACGATATGTCACCACCACCACCACCATGAAGAGTTTGGTTTTAACCATAGTCTTAGAATGAGGTGTGGTGAAAGTTTGGCAGGTATCTGATCATGGAAGGCCTTGAAGACGCTGTTAAGTATTATGGCTAATGCTCAAATTATTATATTATAGGGAAAAAGGCTATGACTATGAGATGTTCTGCCGTCGAGTCGATTCCGACTCATAGGGACCCTATGTAGGATTTCCGAGGAAAGGCTAGTATGTTTGAACCACTGACCTCGCGGTTAGCAGTCCAGTGCTTATCCTACAGTGCCTCATCAGAGCTCCATGTAAAAAATATCGGAGATAGAGTGCGCTAAAATCGTATTTGGTAATTTTGAGATAACACAAATTGATTCACAACTCCCCCTTCCCAAGTCATTTCAAATTCTCCTTAACAGGTTGGCAGATGATCAGAAGGTGAAATTTAGACCAGTTATCAGCTCTTGGGGGAAAAAACAACAATGCTTTCCTTCCTGGAAAATAGATCCTGTGGTAGCAATAGGGCATATTTTCTGGTGGTGGGGTTATGGGGAGAGGTAGGCCGAAATAAATCTACATGTTGATTTCTATTTCTTTTCCCCTCTATTCTGTACGGATTCGAAATGTGTCTGAATGTATTCCAGTTTCCCATTGCCAGCCAAGGTGATTTTTTCTCAGTGGAGAATTGTCAGTATTTCTCAAAGCCAGATTGCACAGGATCAAAAATCACCAGACCAGCATCTAAGGTAAGAAATGTCGATTTATTGTCACTACATCCCTAAAAAATACTTCAGAAACACTAGCAATCCCCACAACTGCTAGCCAGTTGGGAGTTAATCTGGAAGCGTCTTTGGGGGAGTAGATTTCAGCCATTCTCTCTCCACCACGCCCGCCCAAGGCCCGCCCTCCCCGCTCCCCCCCCCCCCCCGCCCCGCCCCGCCATTCTTCGCCGCGCCCCTTCCCTCCGCGCCGCGCCCCGCCCTCCTGGACTCCCGCCAGCCTCTAGGCGGGAAAGTATTCGCTGCAAAGCTGAGGAAAGATGTCGGCGTTGGGCGCGGCGGAGGCAGAGGGGAAAGCGGGTTCCAGGCGGCTCCCCCAGGTGAGAACGAGAAATGGAGTGACGCTCCCTGGTGCTCTGCCTCAGTCTCCGAGGCCTCGTGAAGGTTTTATTAGGCGCAGACCGGGGAGGACGTGGGGTCCTGGAACGGGACAACTCTCCACTTCAAAACTGTTTCCGCCCCCCTTGGCTCTTCTTCGGGCTTGCTGAACTTTTTCGAGTATTGTTTACAAAAATAAGGTGATACCTGCTGTGGTTTTCCTCTATAGGAAACTAGGCATAAAACGTTGAAGAAGGTTTTTATTAATAAACCTAGTAGTGGCACTACTGTAGTGGCCTCCTGCATTTGCAATAGTTTCTACCGGCTTCACACGCCAAAGTCACTTGAAAGCTGACAGCTGGGATAGTCTCACTAGTTATATAAATGGTTGTCATTATTACTCGAATTATTGGTCTGGCACACTCAGACAGACAAAGTATGTGTCCTGCATAATAAATACCTATGCTATTCAGTTTAATGAATTAGATATCTAGATTTCTGAGATTTTTCTTTATAGGCTTTCAGTTTGGATTTCTCTTGGTATCATAAAAATGACATTAGATTTGTTTACAGATAACTGTTGGAAACTTGTAAGAAAAGTCATAGGATCTGAGATTCTAATACTGTGCTTTTTTAAATTTACCTGACTAGGTGAATGAATACAAAGAAAATCAAAATCTCCCTTATGTGTCTCTGACCCCAATACCAGGGACAGTTTTAGAAAAAAACGTTAAGTTTCACTTTGCTGCCTTTTCACTCAGTAAGGAAAAACTAAGCCAATTTAAGTGTCCCAAATCAATATTAGAAAAAACTTCTAATGATGTGCTGTGTAAGAAGACTGAAATAAAGACAGCTTGCAGAGGGATTTTAACTCCAAAGATGGAAGACACATGTTCCAGGGCAGAATCCACTTTGCAAAAATCATCCTTTGATGTTCATCCTGAAAGTAACAAGCGACAGTCTAAGAGCACTTCAGATGCAGTGATTCTCAGTGATGATATGGAAAGCAGTCAGGATGGAGACAGTGATGAAGATGCCAGCCCAGTCCTGGTAAGAAATTAATTAGTAGCTTGTTTTAACTTTTATTGTTTTGAAATTTGAAGTTATGGTAAACTGAGACTATCAAGGGTCTCTGGTGGTGGTGGTTTGGTGGTGATAGTTGTGTGTTGTGGAGTCAGTTCTGACTCATAGTGACACTGTATATGGTTTCTGAGGCTGTAAATCTTTACAGGAGCAGAAAGCCTTATCTTTCTCCCATGGAGTAGCTGGTAGGTTTGAACTGCCGACCATGTTGTTAGCAGCCCAATGTGTAACCCACTACGCTATCAGGACTCAATTTGGATTGTTTTATCATCTAATTTAAGTTTAACTGAAACATTTTTTTAAATGTTTAATCAGTAACTTGGGTTAATTTTGCACTTGTTTTGTGTATCATCTTCACTCTGCTTCCCTGCTTCCCTTTGTTCCCTCTCAGCTTATTGCATATACTTTTTTTCTTAAAGAACTATATAAAAACATTTGCCATTTGTTGTATATAATTTTAGAATTGGGTATTCTTTATGGTGCCTTGTTCACCTTTACATGTTTGTGCACAGTGTATCAGAAAAAGTTGACTTGTAAGACATTCAACTTTCAGTGACCCTTGATGGGTAGGAAACTCATTAATTACATTAATGTGTTGAGTAATATTTTCCTTTAAACTACAAAAAGATAAATACATGGAGTAAATAAGATACATGAGAAACACCTGTTCTATTTTAAATAGTAATTTAAATCAGTTTAGGGAATTAGATATCAAATATCTAACTTTGGCTTCTATTTCCTATCCAAGTGTTAAACCAGAAAACAAACCCACTGCCATCCAGTCGAATCCAAATCATAGTGATGCTACAGAGCTGATTAGAAGTATTCTGCTTTGCAGCAAGCGCCGTCCTGCCTAGAGCATGATGGGATTCCGGGAGGGAGGGTGGGGTTAGCGGGGGGTGGGGGTGGGGGTGGGGGGCGCGCTTGCTGGGCGTTGGCGTTGTTAAGTACCTTGGAGTCGCTTCAGACTCATACTGACCCTGCAGAGGGTTTCCGAGGCTGCAAATCTTTATGGGAGCAGAAAGCCTCATCTTTCTTCCATGGAACAGCTGGTAGTTTCGAACTACCAACCTTGAGGTTAGCAGACCGATTCGTAACCACTACGCTACAAAAGCTCCTTTGGAGACTGAATATTTACAGGAGCAGCAGTCTCTTCTTTATCCCTCTTTGGCCTCAAGGTTAGTAGCCCAATACTTAACCCACTTTGCCACCATACCACGTGAGCTAAGAGCAGAAAATGATGGTAGAGAAAGGGACATGTGATGATTTATTATTATCATTATGAAATAGGAATCAGGTTTATGCTTTATTGTTCCTGAGTGAGAACCTGAACCTGCGTTGGGAAAAGAAGGGCTAACAGGTAAGTGCTTTGAATTGGGGTTTGGGAGTTTGAACTCCTAGACAAGGAAGGCCACCTCTAAGGAATCTTGAGCTTTTAGGCAAATCACCTCGTCTGTGAGGGGGTTGGATCAGGTCTATGATATTCAAACTAGAGCCTGTTTTGAAATTACCTGGAGGGCTTATTAAAACACAGTAGTTAGGCCTCGTCCCTCAGTTTCAGATTTGAGATTTTTGAGGTGGGACCTAGAATTTACAGATTTGCCGTGCTTTGGAACCACTGGATAAGATTAACAGGAGGGCTTCTAAAAGTTCATGAAAAAACGGAATAGAAAGATCATACAAGCTTTCCACGAACTTTTTGAAGCCCATTTGGCCTCTTGGTCAGCAAGATTCCGAGTATGTGAGTTGAATATATGGCAAGTTTTAGTTTGACATAAGGAAATAAGCTTAGAAATTAGAGTACTATAGCACCAGAGATTGTCAAGCAGAGTTGTAAATGCCTAGTATGCATTTTCTTAGGACAAACTGAAAGATTCAGCTTTTCAGATAGAATTGTTTATGTTTTTGTTCTTCCTTTGCATAAATTGTCTTTTTGAAGTAAAGTTGAATCTGGTTTATATTACCCCGTTTTGAAATAGTATTTAAATAGCTTATAAGCTTTTTCCTTTGAATGAAGGAAGACTTATGTCCCATCACAGGCAAGAATCTTGGCCTTCGAGTCTAGGGTTTTATTCTACTTTATGTTCAATTTCCTAAATTTTCTCTCTCAGCCCTTTTTATTAAATATTTTCATTTTGTAAGCATTTACTTTTTTAAAAAACTTTTTTTTTATGAATTGAGTGAAGGTTTACAAAACAGATTATCAGTTTTGCATTCAATAAATCGTATACTTTGCTTCATTACAATGGTTAACGGTATTTACTTGTATTTACTTTTTATTGCATTATCTCGGTCTTCTGCTACCTTCATCTTTTCTCTGCTGACTTCCTCTTGTATATTGTGTACGCTGTCACCCATGTTAACATGTGTCTACACTTTAGCCTGTAAATAATTTGACCTCATTTCTCCCCTGTAACCATCATAGACTGTTACTTTTATCAAGAAAACCTTTTCTTAACTTTTTACGTTGACCTCTTACAATATTTGTCTGTTTGTGATTGACTAATTTCACTCAGAATAATGTCCTCCAGGTTCAGCCTTGTGAGGTGTTTTTCAGATTCATCATTATTCTTTGATGTTGCTTGGTATTCCATTGTATGTATATACCAAAGTTTGTTTAACCATTCTGTTGATGGACTTTTAGGAGGTCTCCATCTTTTTGCATATTTCTTTTGTGGATAGCATATAGACGGATCCATTCTGCTCTCTGTGTTTCTTGACTGGTACATTTAATCCAATTACATTCAGTGTAATTTTCTATATTTATGAATTGATTGCTATAAGTTTTCAGTTTTTTTGTGGTACTGCTGGTTTCTTTATTCCACATTTTCTTCACTGACTTCATTTTGTTTGTGGGTTTTCTCTTTTCTGTTGTGTTAATGTTTAAATCTTTCAATTTTCCTCTTACTTTCAACTTTCATTTTTCAACTTTTTAGTGTTATTGAGAGAATGTTTACAGAGCAGAGCAACAGTTTTACATTCAGTAAATCATATACTTTGCTTCATTGCATGGTTGCAGTTCCTCCATATATTAACAGTTAACTGTTGTGTGTCATTGAGTCAATTCTGACTCATAGTGAGTGACCCTGTATAGAGTTTACAAGGAGCAGCTGGTGGGTTTGAACCTCTGACCTTGTGGTCAGCTGTCCAGTGGCTATCCTACAGCACCACACGGGGACTTCTCTATTCACTTTAATTATTCCGTTCCTTCCTGTGTCTCCAACTAGCTTTGTCTTTCCTCTGCTAACCTGTCCCTTGTATATTGCCTGCACTGCCATGCATGTTAACATGTCTACCCTCTAGCTTATGAATAACTTCCCCCTCCCACAGACATCGTTGATCTCATACAATATTTGTCCTTTTGTGATTGAATAATTTTCCTCAGCGTAATGTCCTCCAGGTTCAACCATATTTTGAGGTGTTTTACAGATTCTTCATTATTCAGTGTTGCATTGTATTCTGTTGTATGTATGTACCAGTTTGTTTAGCCACTCTTCTGTTGATGGACTTTTAGGCTGTGTCTATCTTTTTTATATGTCTCTTGTAGACAGGGTATGGAAGGGTCCTGTTTTCTTATTCTTATCCATTCCTATTTATCTATTCTGCTTTTTATGTCTCTTGACTGGTACATTTAATCCATTTACATTCATTGTAATTATCAATTAATATGAATTGATTGCCGTCATTTTTCTGTGTTTTTAAGTTTTTTGTGGTACTGCTGTATTCTTTGTTCCATATAATCTTCTATGCTGAGCTCATTTTGTTTGTGAGTTTTCTTGTCATTTTCATTTCTTTTGTGTTAATGTTTACCAAATTTTCCTGTTTTTTTTTGTTTTGATGTGTAGGTGTACTAATTTTCTTTGAGGTTACCTTGCAATTTATTGTTTTTTTTTCCTGTTTAAAACAGTCTGTTTTATCTTGAAATCTACTTGACTTCCTTGCCTGTACCTATGTAATTCTCTCTTTTTTGTTTGTAGTTGACTTCATTATAAACTTGGTATCTCTGGTTCCCAATTTTCAGTTTTGTAGGTTTGTTTTATTTTAAATATTTCTATATCTGGATTGAGTTCTAAGTGGTGGTGTTATGTATGGTAATCTCAGGTTGTCTGCTGTGGTTGGTTCTTAAAGAACATCCTATAGCATTTTGTTGTTGCAGCTGTATCTCCAGTTCTCTGTTTTCAGTCTCACAATTGTTATTAAGTGTTGTCTAGTTGGTTCTGACTTGTAGTGACTTTGTATAGGGCTTCCATGGAGCAGTTGGTGAGCTTGAACCGCTGACCTTGAAGTCCAAACTGACTTTACAGCATAGCACATTAACGCACAGTAGATCTGTTTTACATTGCATGCTTCTGTATCTGGGTTGAGTCTAGGTGATATTGTCATGTTTGTTAGGCTCAGGTTGTTGTTTGCTGTTTTTGGCACTCTATCAGAGAACTCCCTATAGTATTTTTTGTAATGTTGGTTTGGTTTTTACAAATTATTTTCATTTTTGTTTGTCTGAAAATGACCTCATTTTACCAGGATAAACCTGGAGAACATTATGCAGAATGAAATTGGTAGTGGCGGTTATGTGCTGTGGAGTCAGATCTGACTCATAGCAACCCTGTATAGAGTTTCAGAAGCTATAAATCTTTACTGGAGCAGAAAGCCCCATCTTTCTTCTGCAGAGTGGCTGACACAAAAGGACAAATATTGTATGAGCCCACTGTTGTAAAACTTAAGAAAAGATTTTCTTGATAAAAGAAACATTCTGTGATGGTTACCAGTGGGTGATGTTGGGAGGAAGGAGGGAATGATTCATGGACTAGAGAGTAGATACATTTTAACATGGGTGACAGGACTGGCAATTAAGAGGAGGTTGGCAGAGGAAAGATGAAGGTGGCAGGAGACACAGGGAGGAATGCAAGAGTTCAATACTGTTAACTGATGATACATGGAGGGGATTGCAATCATTGTAATGAAGCAAA